CCAGTTCCTGATACCGCCCAGCAGCTATGAACATACCTTTGCAGCCCCCACCCAGCCCCCAAGGTGACTCCCTGCTCCCTCCAGCAGCCCTGTGCCCCTCGCCGGCCAGGTGTGACCCCCGGAGCCAGCGGGGCCCACTGTAGGAATGTGCCTTCGACCCAGCGAGGGGGCTGGCTCAGCCTCCCGCCCTGGCCCTGCCACCAGGGCTCTGGGGAAGATTCGGGGCCCACATTGGCTACTTATGGCACTTCCTTCAGATCTTGTCTTTCTCCACAACTTAGGGTCCCCCTTCCCCCCCAAGTCCAGCCCCACCTGCCTCCCTGCCTGCTGTTCTTTGCAATGCAGCCTGCACGGCAGCGAGGGGCTTGTTAAAATCTACCCTTCACCTGTCCCATGTGGGGTATTCACCCTGGCCTCCGTCCCGAGGGGGTGCCGCTCCTGCGGCCTCCTTCCCACAGCCAGCAACTTCCTCAGCCCCCACCTGCCCTGTCTGCCTTCCCCACAGCCCCAGGGACTGCACTGAAGACCAGAGAGACCCCCACAGAGAGAGGCGCTAGGGAGAGACGAGGGAAAGCCCACATTGGGAGGAGGAAGGGTGGTGATGGCACAAGGCTGGGGCTGTGGGTGGGGACGAAGCAGGGGGTGATTTACAGCAGCAAAGGCAAGGGCTGGAACGCGGCTCCGGCCCCGTCTAGTCTGTGTCTCGGCACCAGGCAGCAGCATACTCCGGCCGTGCAGACAGACTCTGTGCCTGGACTTTTAAAGAGACCAGATCATTTGATAGCCACCAGGACCATTTCTCTAGAGAGGATCATTGGACGGGCGAGCAAATGCCAGGAAGGAACGCTTCCCTCCCCCCACCATCAGCGTCTGCAGTGGAATGGAGGTCCTGTCTTGTTACCGAGTGGACCGAGGCTGGATTTGGCTAGGAGCGCAGGCTATCTGAGGTCTGTATAACTCGTGCATTGGCAGCCAGTCTCCCATGTAGCAGCAATGTGGGAAGGGCAGGGTAACTGTGTCTCCCTTACACTGGCTTGTGACCCCCCAGGTTGAGAGCCCAGGGATTAGCAGAGCTCCTGGATGGGGCCCTTAATAAATGCAAAGGTTGCACCCCCCCATGCACACAATTGCACACCCCGATGCACCACACTGCACACCCATGTGCTGCCAGCCAGCTGAGAGGGTTCCCCTCCCTGCGAAGCGATAGGGTACTGGCTTCTCCCGCTGCCAGGGGCAGGCGGTTAGATTCTGTGCTAGACAATGAGCTGATCAGATCTGACAACATGCGTGTCCTTGTGCCCCTGCCCCCTCTTTCTGCCAGTGAATTCTGCAGCCTGCGGGGCTGGCTGGCTGCCTTGGTGACACTCACATGACAGGGCTCCGCTAAGCAGGCACTTGCCTGTCCCGGGGCAGCGGTCAGGGTGGTGCTGCGGGGCTGGGACGCTGGGCGGTCAGCTGAGACGGGTGGCACTCAGAGCTCAGCCCCTGCCTGCCTGGGGCGGGGCTGGTTTAGGATTCAGGCTCAGTGTTGGCTCCACTGTCCCATCCCCAAGGGCAAGAAATCAAGGA